AATGAACTTTTGACTCATTACAACTTAACATATCACCATGGATAATTCTAACAATGACTGAAGGGTACAAGTGGAATGGGCAACTCAAGGAACATTTGCTGGATGTGATTTTTACTTGCCTACTTTTTCAGCTCATTGGCTGGAGAAGTTCTACAAGCATCCAAATAAAAATATTTAAGAACATTCTTTTTGTTCACTTTTTTGTTGGTTTTTGAAACAGGGTCTCATACAGCACAGGCTGATCTAGACCATTCTATGTAGCCAAGGCTGACCTTGAAGGCTTGACCATCCTGCCTTCACCACCCAAATGCTGGGATTACAGGTACACACCACCTGGGTTTTGCTCACCATTTAACACAGTATAGAAAAGGCAGTTATTCAATATCAGTCACAGAACTGTTGAAATAAGCTGAAAATGGTTCCTAATTTGATTTATTTGGCTCTTGGGATCAGGATCTCCTGTTTTCGGGAGGTTTAAAGGGCATGAGTATTTTATTTCATAGAGACTAAGAATCCACATCTCTGAAATCAACTTTTTTAATTTAAATAATGGTTATTAAGTCTGTATGCAAATGCTGTTTCAAGAAGGCATTGACATGAAGGTTTCCCAGGGTGGATTTGAGAGTCATTGAAAAATAAACTGTAAGATACAGACCAGCTACTACTAGGTCTTTATGAGCACAAACAAGTGCCAAATGTGGCTTTCAGTTTGCTGTTTACATTACCTGAAAACTTTGCTTTTATAAACTAGAGTCAAGAACATGTCATTTCTTTGAGAACATAGTGAGCTGGATGCTTTTATTTGGTCGGTTATTTAAGATATTTGTTAATCATGGTTTTACCAAAGCCTCCCTCAGTGGCTACTTGAGTGGCCAACTTTTTAAGAAGCCTTCTCTCTAGAGAGAACAAATTAATTTTGTGTGTGTGTGGGGGGAGTATATGCATGTGTATGCTCATATATGTGAGAGTGTACCCACATATGCAGAAATTGATGTTGAGGCCAGAAATTGATGTCTGGTGTCTTCCTCTATCAGTCTCCACCTTATTTTTTGAGACTGAACCTGAATCTTGCCATTTCAGCTAGACTAATTGGCTAACAAGGCCCCAGGATCTTCCAGTCTCCATACCCCCAGCACTGGGATTACAGACATGAGCTGCTATACCTGGCTTTTACAAGGGTGCTGGGAATCTGAACTCATGTCTTTATGCTTGCACAGTGAGTACTTTACCCACTGAGATATCTCCCCAACCCCCAAATAAATTTCTTAACAGACTATCTCGTAGTGTAGGTGTCAGTTAACATTGACATTTGATTTTTCCATGGTCTAATCCAAAGCAACATGTTCTAAACTTTCTAGCATTCCAGGTGATTTTCCAAAAACATTCTCACTTCAGGCAGTGACACTATTTATAGGAGCTTGTCCTTAAAAATGGTTATCTCAAACAATGCTTGAATTCTACTTTGCTCTGTGTATTTTCACTGTGACATTTTATTTTCCATAAAGAATTCTCGGCTTACATCCAGAAAAACTTCATTGAATCTTGGTTATACTACATATTAGATGCATAACTTTGAGCAAGTTGTATAATCTGTATTAGTGATACTTGTTTTATACAAAGATGGAAGTAGCAGTGATTCCCAGGGTTATGATAATAAGTGAAAAATATATAACAAAAGCCTTTTAGAGTGAAGTGATTCCTAAATATAATGAACATGTTGGTATTGTGCCTGTTGTGACATTCCATCCAATTAAAATGGTTTCTATGTAATAGCACTCTCTGGAAATACCGTCCGGCCACTGTAGATGAGGATCATATGGAAGACTGCTTTGAATTACTTTTTAATTCTCTTCACTGTTGTATTATTTGTCTCTTTGAAAAGGAGATTCTACCAAGGTTGTATCTTTTAAACCTATATCTTAACTCCTATAAATTAATGATGCACAGATTTTGTGATATTATACTAATAACAGCCAACACTTCCATGTTAGCGCTGTATGCCTTGTACAAGTCCCAAGACGTTCTAATATTAACTCATGTAATCCTCCCCAAACCTCAGGAGGAAGGCAAATGCTTTTATTGCCACGGGTACTAAGGTGTTAAAACTGAGGCACAAAACTGTGACAAGGGTCAACAGGATGGCTCAGTGGGTCCCCAAATCCCACAATGAAAAGAAAGAGCTGACTCCTGAAAATTGTCCTTTGACCTCCCAGGCATGGCACACTGTGGCATGCCTATACTCACACCACCCACACACAAACACATTTTTAAAAACCTGGGTCAAAATACGTAGCCTGTGTTACAAGTCATTTTTTAATTTTCTCATATTTTCTATCAGCTTTTAGGGAAGATTTTGGTGAAAAGGATAAAGGAAGTAAGAAAAATTACTTGAGTCCTAGGCATCTCATCTTGGACAAAGGATGCTGCTTCAAGTGGCATAGAACTTGTTTTTATTTTCCTTTGTCATTTTTTCTGTTTTAATCTCTAGTGTTTACTACTGTGTGTAAATTAAAGTTTAGGATGACTTCTCTCCCTTTTGAGGCCATGGTTTAGTAAAAGAAGCTAAACTCATCAAAGAGGTCCACTCACCTCAGTCATGAGCTATACATGAATTAATTATAAGAGCCCCAAAGCCCTGTATAGATATGTTTCTCAACTCAAACATTTTCACCCATTCTTTGGGCTTACAATTCATTGGCTTGATTTCATACACTTTGTAGTCTTTCTTTAATTTAGGCACATTTCTGTTCAGTTAAGATACTCACTTATTTGTTCATAAATTTAACTGCTGATGTCTCATGTGCTAAGATACCATACTCATTTGTTGAGTTTACAGACTAATGGGAGAAGACAGACAGTAAACAACTAATCTCGGGAATAGAAATAATGCAATTTCTCTGAATAATGCTGCAAAGACATGGAACATGATGCTCTAGGGATGGACAAGTGAAGGCTCTGGCAGACACTTGATGATTATCATTTTTCCCCTTTCTGTCTTTGGCCTTATCCAAGATTTCAGAAACTCTGGAAGGACAGAGGGAGGGCAAGTTAGACAGAGTCTATGGGGAGCAGAATGGCAAAAGAGCATGATACAAGTTGACCACAGAGAAAAGCAGAAAGGAAAACCCCCAGCTTCAGCAGGCTAACACACCTCAGCCCCCAAATTCACTCTATTGTAGAAGAAAAAGTGATGCGTGGAACAGCTGCCATTCTGGAGAAAAGCTATTACATAGACATTCTGCTCAACTCAGCGAGACAGGGAGGAATGAAGTAAGTTTAAAGTGGTTTGCAATAACATGGTTAAAATATTACTTGAAATATTATGCATCAGCTTTCTAGAAGCATATCTAGAATGTTATATATGCAATATGGCTGTCCTTGTTTATGCAAATATTTTAAAATAGCATGAATATTGGTTGAAGAAACACTTCTGGAAAGGAAGATAGGAGACCTTGTTTTTGCTTTTCAGCTGGTGGCGAGACCGTGGATAAAGAATAATTAGTTGAAGGATCCTAATTGTTCTTCTTAGTGAAAATGCACTAATAGCTTTACCTGTCAACCTAACGAGATCCTCTTACATGTGTTCAGTTAACATTGATTGAGAGCCCTCCCTGCCCATTGGGGATATAGTGATGCACAAAGGAGACCTAAACTTTGGCCTCATGGAACTGATAGCTCAATGACTGAGACCAACATTCATGATGGGCCTTAATTTTGCTCTGTTCTTGGACTGAATTGCTTGTCCCCTGTCATGCTCCTGGTATTATCTTCGGAAACTACCCTGTGTGTCATTTACGCCACACTCCAGCTCTTTCTGTTGCTGCTTTAATTTTCTTCTCATCTTTTGTCACCATTTGTCTTAGCTGTGCTCTCTCTTGCTGTTATAAAATACTGTGATGAGTGTTACCTGGGGGAAAAAGGGATCATGTTGGTTCTCAGTTTCAGAATTGTGATCACTGCCTGAGATCACTGATCACACTGGATTCATAGTCAGGAAGTAGAGAGGAATGAATTCATGCATGCAGGCTTTCCCTCAGCTCTCTCCATCCCTCACACTTCAGGATCTCCTGCCTAGGGAATGGTATTACCCACACTATATGGATCTTCCTACCTCAACTAATGCAATCAAGGTAATCTCTAATGGACATGCCCACAGGCCATCCTGATCTAAATAGTCAGGCATTGAGACTCCTTCCTGGTGATTCTAGATTGTATCAAACAACAATTGTTGACAAACTAACCATCACACCATTTTTTTTCATTATATTATGTCATTGTTTTCTTTAGGTCCACGCCTGAAATGTTAATCCCTCATACATACTGTCTGTTTTGCTCCTTGGTGTTTAGAACAATGCTTGGCACATAATAAGCACTCAGTAAATATTTACTGAATGCAGAGTAAATGAAATGATCACACAAGTACTTACTTAAGCACCATGATGAACAAATGGGACAGTAGTAGTTATTTGCATCTGAAAAAGGTAAAATCTGCCAGAAGATACCCTGGCCATTTTTCTTTTGTGCTTTTTTTAAAAAAATTATATTAAAACATATTTTCTAAAAGTTTCTCTTCATTTCTAATCATGGTTTGTAATACTGAGCTCTACCTGTATGGCTTTAGGCCCCTTCTCTCCAGTTAACTAACTCTAAAGTAGAGATTCCCGGCACACTCAGTGAACTTCTGTCTTCATGTGTCCCTCAAAATCATCTGCACATGTAGTACATGCTGAACCCCTGTGCATCTTACATGAGTTCTCTGGGTTCTCAGACTAGAGGAGCATCAAGTTCTACCCTCTAAAATTACTCTCTAAAATTTCATATTTTTCTTTTACTTTTTTTGATAATCTTAGCATTTATTTTTCTCCTTGAGATGGTTTCATTTTCCTTTTAATTTTCATGATTTGTAAACAAAGTTTACTCTTTGTCCCCAGTGACTGATGTTCTTGGTTTGTGGTACACATCTGATCCCAACCCTTCTCCCTCTCTCTCTCGACCAACAGTGTGGGGATGTGCCAACTGCAGAGTTACCTTATCCAGCCCTTCTGGAACCTTTACTTCTCCGTGCTACCCTAATGACTACCCTAACACCCAGGCTTGCTTGTGGACCATCCGAGCCCCTACCGGCTACATCATTCAGATTACGTTTAATGACTTCGACATTGAAGAAGCTCCCAATTGCATTTATGACTCATTATCCCTTGATAATGGAGAAAGCCAGACTAAATTTTGTGGAGCAACTGCCAAAGGCCTGTCATTTAACTCAAGTGTGAATGAGATGCATGTGTCCTTTTCAAGTGACTTTAGCATCCAGAAGAAAGGTTTCAATGCCAGCTACATCAGAGGTATGTAAACCACAGGCGGTGCCAACCTTCTATCTTTTAACATGTGCTACAATAAGCACCAGGACCAGAAGACAGGTGTATGCTCTTTTATGTAAATCTGGATGGTTCTGACCAGGATTTTGGGTTGGGTAGAATCTGGTAATATTCACTGAGAATCCTCATTAACAAACTGTGACTATGAGGTCCAAAATCTAGTTTCAGTAGAGCCGAATTACAGATTGTTTTTCTGAAGAGCATTTATTTTGTTATTTATTTATTTATTTATTTATTTATTTATTATTTATTGTCACTCTGTTCTCAGTTCTGTTCCTGGGCATTTTATGGTTTTATTTTATGTGTATTCATGTATTTATTTATTTATTTATTTATTTAATTTTGAGACACAGTCTCACTATGTAGCCCTAGCTGGCCTGGAACTTGCTATGTAGACCAGGCTGGGCTCCAACTCACAGAGATCCACCAGCCTCTGCCTTCTCAGTACCGAGATTAAAGATGTGTGCCACCAAGCCTGGCTCTACAGAACATTTAAAAGTTGCTTTGAAGACAGGGTGGAGAACCCGCCCACTAGTGGTAATGAAAATCTTTCATTCTAACATCTCTCCACTGGAAATTGTAAACATTCTATTTAGAAATTATTTTCTTTGGAACTTATGAGACGCTATCCTTTAAAGAACTATCCTAGGGAACCAAAAATTAGTGTGTAAATTTAAATACAGCTGTTAATAACCCAAACTAACAAACAACCTAAAGAAAAATTCCCCCAATGCAGCTAATTAAAGAACATTAAACATTGTATCATTGATCATGCTTCCCTGATTCTGGCACATCATAACATGGACATATTCCTGTTGGGGCTGAAGAGATGGCTCAGCAGTTGAGAGCACTGGCTGCTCTTACAGAGGACCCAGGCTCAGTTCCCAGCACCTACATGGCAGCTAACACCTGTCTGTAACTCCAGTTCCAGGGAAATCTGACACCCTCTTCTGACCTTCTTGGGCATTGCACAACATAGGTGCACTTACATACATGCAGGCAATACACTCACACACATAAAATAAAAATAATAAATTTTTTTCATTGATTCTTTGTATTTTGTTTTTCTTTGTTTTTGTAACTCATTTTTTAATTTGTTGATTTTGTGTGTGTGTGCATATCATAAAGAACATCCCAAACAATCTTTATTCATCTATATACCCACTTCCCAAATGGCACCCTCCCATAGCCACCCCCCCACTGGAACCCATATACTCTGTCATCCGTTACTGTCCACTGTGTTGTCAGTGCCCCAGCCATTCACCAGTGCTTGTCCATCTGCTGAATCTAGTCAGCCTATCTAGAGATCCTTGTTTTAGGAAGATCAGCTGTTCCTCATATATTTGGTGGCGCACGCCTTTAATCCCAGCACTCGGGAGGTAGAGGCAGGTGGATCTCTGTGAGTTCAA